GAAGGTCACCGAATTTGTCAGACATGATTTGCCATTAGTGAATCCATGTTGGCTGTCACCAATCACCTTATTTTCCACATGCCTTAGCATAGTTTCCAGGAGGATCTTCTTCATGATCTTGCTGAGTGAAGAGGTGAGACTGACAGGCCTGTAGTTCCCCCCAGGAGTTCTTTCTTCCCTTTTTTAAAAATGGGGGTTGTATTTCGCCTTTTCCAGTCAGTGGGAACTTCACCAGACTGTCACAATTTCTCAAATGGGATAAATAGTGGCTTAGCCACTTCATCCACCAGTTCCTCAGGACCCACGGATGCATCTCATCAGGTCCCATGGACTTGTGCACCTGCAGACTCCTTTGACAGTCTCAAACCTGATCTTCTTCTACAGAAGGCAGTTCTTCATTTTCCCAGTCCCTGCCTTTGCCTTCTGCAACTTGGGTGGTGTGTCTGAGCACGTGTCGGTGAAGACAGAGGCAAAAATTCATGGAGTAGCTCAGCCTTCTCCATATCCCAGGTAACCAGGTCTCCTGTAGTCTTTTCTGGAGAGGGCCCACATTTTCCTTAGTCTTCCTTTTACCACCTACATACGTACAGAAGCTTCTTGTGTTGCCCTTAATGTCTCTAGCCATATTTAATTCTGTCAGGGCTTTGGCCTTCCTAACCTGATCCCTGGCTTCTTGGGAGAGTTTCTCTGTATTCCTCACAGGCTATTCATCCTTGCTTCTACCCTCGGTAGGCTTTCTTTCTCTGTTTGAGCTTGTGCAGGAGCTCCTTGTTCATCCATGCAGGCCTCCTGGTGTTTTTATCTGACTTCCTCTTTGTTGGGATGCATTGCTCCTGAGCTTGGAGGAGGTGATCCTTGAATATTAACCAGTTTCTTGGGCTCCTCTTCCCTCCAGGGCTTTACCCCATGCTACTTTACTAGAGTAGAACCCTGAAGAGGCCAAAGTCTGTTCTCCTGAAGTCCAAGTTAACAAGCTTGCCGAGCACCCTCCTCACTGCCCTAAGGTTCTTGGACTTCCTGATCACTGCAGCCAAGGAGCCCTTGAGCTTCACATTCTCCTTGCAGTAAGAACAAGGTCCAGCAAAGCCCCTGTCCTCATTGGCTCCTTCCTCTATCCCTTGGAGAAGAAAGTCATCATCAAAACATCCCAGAAACCTCCTGGAAAGTCTCTCTCATCTTTTTCACTGGTGTTTAATTCTACCTCTGCACACTTGTATAGTTCTTGAGACCATACTCTGCTTCCTTTTGGCCTGTCATTCTGTTCTGCTATTTCAGATTCCATCTGTGTGTCTTCACTATTACAACCACCCCTTTCCTTTAAGCAGTTCTTTTGCCTCAGCTGCCTATAACATTAACCCTGATTTTCAGCCTTTTAAGCAACCCAGGTTTCAACTCTGTGTAAAAATTCTGGTCAAACAGCTCCTTCACAGGCCAAGCCAGGCAGATCAAGCTAGGGTGTACTCTAGTTGCTCAGAATAAGGCAGCCAGTGTTATACTGCAATTTTCATGAAGTAGCCGTAACAAATGCAAAGCTTCATTTTTATGGAAAAATCAAAATACCTAGGCGTTTGACACATGTCTCTGAGCAAAAAATGTCCACAACCAGCATTTTGAATAGCAAAGAGACAAGTATTTAAAACCCTGATATAGATGTCTAAAAGATTTATTGTTCTTCACTTCATCTGCTTCCTTATCCAGAATTCCCATGCAGTTTCTGGTGCCACTAATAGTTGTTCTGAATTGAAGTTAACTGAAAGTTATGGAAACAGCATGCCACAGCTAATTCTTACTGGAATTCAGAAAGATGAAAATATAGATACCATTAAGGGTTTTAATGAAGTGTGAGAAGAGTTACTGCTGCCACAATTTCTATATTCCATTATTGGAATATAAAAAGAAACAAAGTTTCTATTTCATTGGGGATGAGCCTCTTTAAACAAGAAGTAAGCAACAAGACAAGAGGTAACGGCCTCAAATTGCACCAGGGAAGGTTTAGACTAGATGTCAGGAAGTATTTCTTTACAGAACGGGTTGTTAGGTGTTGGAATGGGCTGCCCAGGGAGGTGGTGGCGTCCCCATCCCTGGAGGTGATAAAGAGTAGGGTCAACATAGCGCTGAGGGATCTGGTGTAGTTGGGAACTGTCTGTTCAACTTCAACTTCAACTTCAACTGTCTGTTGGGAACTTAGGTTAATGGTTGGACTGGATAATCTTCAAGGTCTTTTCCAACCTAGTTGATTCTGTGATTCTGTGAAAGTTGTCTTTGCAAGAAGAGTTGAAGGTCTAGAAATCAAGCCCAATATTTAACTGCTGGTGGAGTAAACTTTGAATATTTTCCAGCTATATTCCAGTATTACAAACAGCAAGCAATTAAAAAAGTCGAGTAATACACAAAAAACCCCACAAAGATTAAAAAAAATCTAACTCAGTAGTCCTGTCTCTACACTACTCAGTGGGTCTTTAAAAAAAAGTACTGATGATGGCTTATTAAATGAAAGAAGTATGATAGCTGTAATGGAAGAGTGTTAAAGCTTTTATATAGTATTTCTAGAAAAGTCAGTAACAGTTTTTTCAACTTGTTATAAAAAAACCCACTCTGAATCCACTGATTTAGGAAAAACTGCTTATGTTGATCACTTTTCTTTTTCAATAACATCTGATTTTGAGCAAGTGACAATATTTTTTGCCTTTGCAAATGATGTAAAACACCTAAGTTACAGGGATAATTCATGATTTCTGGATAACTAACACATTGCCATATTAGAATCAAAGTTGCAACCAAAATAGGAGGCAGAACTAGAAATAAGTATGTGTTAAAAAGCCTATATGTTCTTCCACTTTGGATTTAGGATAAGCATGTTAACCTGGTTCCACCTTCTGTTTTAAAAACAACTGATATTAATTTTAATTGTGGCTGTTGCTGACTTGTAAGCTACACTTGGCTGAAAACAATATTATTTTTAATATACATTGAACTAATATATGGCCAGGCACATCTGTAATGAGACACCTCGCTGATGTTTCTGAATACACATTCCTTTTTATACATATGCAAACATGTTTCCTTTGCAAAACAGCACTGTATTGTGTATTAGGACAGAGGATGGCTTATTTCACAGTCCAGTGGAACTGAAACTCATGACAAGGTATTAAACAAGCATTATTTTCTGAAGATTACAACAGACCCACCAGTTCTATGGAAGAATATTTATTACTCCAATTTACTGCACATAAACATGCAAATTAGTGCCTGTTGTAAAATACTTTATCTAGTTAATCTGCTAAGAAATAAATTTATACACTTTAGTGCCCTTCTAATAAAGGAATGCATTGGATGTCCATGTTGTGCTGACAGTGGGGAGCTGCAGGGGCTGCCCCATGCTGGGCACAGCCACTTCCAACTGGCTCCAACGGACTTGCCACAGGGCAGAGCTGAGCCTGCCAGCCAATGTCATGGTGTGGAGCAGAGGTTTACCTGCAGCCCTTGGAGAAGATCATGGGGAAGCAGGTTGTCCCCCAGCAGCCTATGGAAAACCACAGTGGGTCAGATATCGACAATGCAGCTCATGGAAAACCCATGCAGGAACAAGCTGCCTAGCAGGAGCTTTGTGTGACTTTGTATCTCATCATCCTACTCTAGTTTTAACTGGCAATAAATTAAATTAATTTTCCCAAAGTCAAGTCTGCTTTGCCTGTGATGGTGACTGGTAAGTGAACTTCCTGTTTTTATCTCAATCCACAATCTTTTCTGTTTTATTTTCTCCCCTTCCCGTTGAAGAGGGGGAGTGAGAGAGTGTCTGGGTGGGCGTCTGGCAGCCAGCCAAGGTTAACAAACCATAAGGAAAAGACACAAAAAATGAGATTGTAACATGCCACTGTTCACTGGCGTCTTTCCCTGACAAGTTCCTTTCTTTTAGATATTCCTACTGGGAATCCAGATGATCTCAAAAGATTTGGAAGAAATCCCAGAAGATTATTCTGTTTCAGCAAGAGTCTGCCAAAGGGTCCAACTGCTTCTATGTTCTATGAAAAGTAAAGGAACTATTTTGTAGCTTTGGTTCTCAGCCTACCATCCTCTGGAAACCTGCATTTCCTGAAAAAGTCTAGAACTATCATTTCAGGATTTTTCTCATCTTAGCCTTGGCCTCATAATTTCCAACCTTAGAACCCTGCAGAGTAAGGTACACTCTCTCTCTCTCTAAAAAAAAAAAAAAAACACATCACCCTGTGTTTTCTTTTGTCGCACAAGGTTACAAGCCAGATTTCTTGGTAGCCCGACAACAGGTATCTTCTTTTCCACAGTCTTTTACTCCTTAATGATCAAGCACAGTTGCATGTACCAGAAACAGTGTCCATGGAGCCATGTCTTTCCCCTCCAGAATGAGGAACAGCTTTGTAACGGAAACTAGTGCATCCATGCATCAAAATGGCTCGAACGAAAAAGAAAGTTTGACTACTTAAGAGCATAAATATAAAAGCAGAGAACTGTCATGTTTTTCAGACTTGGCCTAGCCTGCTCACACTCCATTTCAAGCTTGCCCAGGGCCACCAGCATCTTTTTGCCTCCAACAAGTGATGCCCAGATTAACCTATTAGTCCATAGAGACTTGCATTTCTAATTCTAACGCATACAGCTTCTTTCTCTCCTTATATCTGCAATGATTGTATTTTCAAATTAGCAAACAAACACCAAGTAAGGCAGGGGACAAAAAGCCAGCAACTAGAAGTGTCTACTCTTTTCTTCAGCTTGTCACCGTATCTATCTTCCCCATAATGGATGGAGATGCAACACTACTGCAATATTATTAATGAAAACATGTTGGAAACCTCAGTTAAAATCCTTTCATCCTTCCAGTGAACTGCATTTCTGCTAATCTACCTGTCTTCCTGGCAATAGTTTCCCCCCAGTTTTTGCATTCAGATCCCACTTGACAGATTTTCTACCTTATCTACCCCCCATCTTTTCAAATTTAATAATTTTTTAAAAAAGTTTATTCTTACCAGCGTCACTGACAGATTCATAACCCTTCCAAACTGATCAATATAGTAGACATTATCCTGGTACCAGGAATCAAGGTGAAGATAATTATACATGCCAAAAGCACGCATGTGGTCAAGGGTGTACTGATCATCACGAAGTTTCACTTCTGCTACAGCTGGGGGGAAAAGAAAAAGAAAATACCATTTTAACATTGATTTATTATTTAATAAATTAAAGTTCAAACTAATAATTTAAAAATAATCCTTCTTTAGTCCATAGATCTGTTTATTTGAATAAAAATACATTATGTATACATAGTTCAAAATTTCATCATAAACTTGGAAAGGTCACCCACACTGATGGTCACTACAGTCACTCACTGTGATCATGTAATAAATACAACCATTTACAGTGGCCTATTGTGGTGGGTTGACCCTGGCTGGAGGCAGGTTATATTATCACTCCCTTCTGCAGCTGGACAGGGAAGAGAAAATATAACTAAAGTCTTGTGGGTCAAGATGAGGGCAAGGAGAGATCATTCAGCAATTACTGTCATGGACAAAAGAGACTCAACTTGGGGAAACTAATTTATTACAAATCAAAGCAGAGTAGGATAATGAGAAATAAAACCAAATCTTAGAACACCTTCCCCCCACTAGTCCCTTCTCCCTGGGTTTAATTTACTCCTGGTTTTCTCTACCTCCTCCCCCCGAGAGGTGCAGGGGGATGGAGAATGGGGGTTAAGATCAGTTCATCGCACGTTGCCTCTGCTGCTTCTTCCTCTTCGTGGGAGGTCTCCTCACGCTCTTCCCCTGCTCCGGTGTGGGGACCCTCCCATAACAGACAGTCCTACGCAAACTTGTCCAACATGAGTCCTTCCCACAGGCTTCTTCAAACTGCTCCAGTGTAGGTCCCTCCCACGGGGTGTAGTCCTTCAGGAACAGACTGCTCCAGCGTGGGTCCCCCACAGGGTCACCAGTCCCGCCAGCAAACCTGCTCCAGCGTGGGCTCCTCTCTCCATGGGTTCACAGGTCCTGCTAGGACCCTGCTCCAGCATGGGCTTCCCACAGGGTCCAGACTCTTTCAGGTGCATCCACCTACTCTAGCATGGGCTCCTCCACAGTCTGCAGGTGGAGATCTGCTGCACCATTAACCTCCACAGGCTCAGGGCACAGCTGCCTCACCATGGTCTGCACCACGGCTGCAGGGGAATCTCTGCTCCGGCACCTGGAGCACCTCCTCCCCCTCCTTCTTCACTGACCATGGTGTCTGCACAGCTGTTTCTCTCATATATTTTCACCCCTCTCCTCTTCTGCAGTTGCACAGCTTTTCCCCTTCTTAAATACGTTATCCCAGAGGCGCTACCACCATCACTGATGGGCTCAGCCTTGGCCAGCGGTGGGTCTGTCTTGGAGCCGGCTGGCATTGGCTCTGTCAGACACGGGGGAAGCTTCTGGCATCTTCTCACAGAAGCCACCACTGTAGCCCACCCACTATCAAAACCCAATACACTTACACTGTCTCTTCCCATCATGTGTTGAGATAGAATTTGTCAATAACCCTCACAAGATGAAACACACATGCAACAACCATGTAAAACATCCTTTTAAGTCTGCTTTGGAAGAGCACACATCATTCCTCATACATACCTGATGTTACAGTAAGGGGAAAAAAAGTCTGCTCTATGGTAACTCCAAGAAAAAAAACAGGCAAAAGAAATATCCTGTCTAACTGCATGGATTTCATAGGCTTAAATTCTGAACCAAGCTATCAACACTTGCAAGGAAAAAGATTAAAACAGTACAAAGCAGAATTAATACATGGTCATTACAAAAAAAAAAAAAAAAAAAAAAAGTCTTTAGTACTCCCACTGAGGTTGAAATCTCGAGGAATGTCCATACCATCAAAATTGCAGACTAAGCTTTTTCTAACTGAAAGAGGCTACAAGGAACAGCTGTTCACTATAATGGTACCTTCTTCAAGGCAAGAAGCATGCTACCTACAATCATCCACTTGAGCAAGATTTTTCCACATAGAAATCCTCTCCTCAGCTACCAGTAATCAGAACTGGGGTTATCTTTCTAAGACTAACTAAGTTTTATTTGAACTAGATGCAGCAATTTCTTCCTACTCCGTATAGAGACCAAGGAGCTGTAGTCCCAACATATCAAAATGCAGAAAATGCTCAAGTTTTAGAGAAGATATTAGCAGAGGTCTAGTCCATCCTTCTACAAATAGTCTCAGACAGACTGGAGCTCCAGTTAACTCTCCACTACAGTCATCCCAGGGTCCTCAGCTTCCCCGCAGGAAGTTTATCTTGAACTTCACACAGCAAGCAAAATCTTTTAGAACACTGATTCTCAACCTGTGGTCTGTGGACCCCTGGGGGGCTGCAATGTCATCACAGGCTTAAAGCAGGAGTGGAGAACATCCAGCCCAGAAACGTTTGGTTTGGCCCGCAGCAAGCACTATGCCTCCTTCTCTCACAGCCTCCTCTCCTCAATGCTCCTCTCATACTCAAGCCCCTTCCCCTGCCTGCGCTGACATGCTAATATATTCGGTGCTAGTATTGTTTGTGGGACCCACTTTCACTAGGCGGTTTTTCTCTTAAAGACATTTTCTTAACCCAACGGCCCTCTTTAGGGCCACAACGGGGCTGAAGTCTGTTCCTCCAAGTGGTGGCCGTGGGCCCATAAACAAAAATATATGGTGATTGAACACAGACAAACAAGGGGGGAGGTGAGAAAAATTGTAAAAAGTTTTAATCAAATTTTCATGTAAAAACTGGCATCAAATTCAGAATTAGCATGTTAAAATACCATAATACGGGCCATTTGAGCAAGAAGAGTGTTGATGCTATTATTTTAAATTCATATGGAACCACTGAAATGAAGATATTAAGAGTGTGTGCATTAACAGATTAACTTATTTCCCCTTCTCTCCAAATTTGAAGATCCTTCATGAGAAAATTGAAATAAATATTTGATGCAGTCTAGTGCTTTCAATCTTGAATTAAGTCCTGGTGGTCCACGGCCACAGAAGATATTTAAAGGGGGTCTGTGGTGAAGGGAAGGTTGAGAATCTCTGTTTTAGAAAGTTATAAGTAAACTCCATGAGCCCACCATGATTAGCCTTCAAACCCGGAGTATGGATGAAGCACCTCAAGGCTGATATTTCTCATGGCAACAGGTATTTTAGTTCCTACTTCTTCAACTTCCACTCTTTTCTGCTCAGAAACAGGGCAAAGCTATTTCCAGTATTTCACTTGCATCCACCCCTGTAACAGGAGCCCTTCACAAGTCTATGCAGCAGTCCTCATCTTAGATTTCTTACACTCCTCTTTAGCATCTACTTAACATCTACTGAAGAAGCAGTAGTTTATTCTACTCTGTCAGAACACCAATTACTGCAAACAGTAGTTCATTTTGCAGAGCAATCAGCGCCAGTGCAATAGCTAACACAATACCATTAATCAGATAGTCACTAAATGGCTCAGAACTGACCCCATTAGAGATACTATTAACATAAAAGTGGCTATAGGAAACAGTACAAGATTATACTGTCTGATTAATAAAAAATCCAGTCATACTATACAAAATGCTTGCAAAACGACAGTATAATTAGCAATTAGTCTCCTAATCACTGTTGATATGTGCAAACCAACAGCATTAATTCCATTCAGTATAAAAAATAATTATTCATATTCAGTACACAGGAGGGATTTCCATACCTCTGCAATTAATAAATTACTGTTTCTCAAGTCATGGCCCTTAAAAAAAAAGCTAAAATATCAACAAAGAAGTGAGAAGAAAATATACCTGTCATATTGGGAGAGACTGCTACCCATTCCAACTTCTACTTTAACTAATTAGAATATTTTACAGTAAATTACACTGTAAAAGAAATTAGAAGAATGTGTTGTGAAAACACGTTTTAAAGCTGTTTGCTCAACCAAGCTTTATCAGATATATTCTTCCCAACACCAAGAGATGACGTGAGTAAACAATTAAAACCAAACCCAAATATAATCCAGGATAATTATTCCCCAGCGAAACCAACGTCATCTACTTCCTGTACATTAACTGATCTTTTGAAATTAGAATACACATGCAGAAGCACGTAAAGCTTTTTTAGCAAACCTGAAGGTTTTTTAGAAAACCTCAAATAGTCTTATTTTGTAAAGCTGCCCTTTTCCACTTTTCCTCTGCCTACCCCCCCCACCGAAACATTGCTACTGTCAGAACTGTAACTAAAACACATACAAATAGTGAAAATAGTCCAAACTAGATGCTTCCTAAAGCAAATGTATAAGCTTTCAAGAAAATTATTGGAACAATATACTATTGATTAGCTGACTGTAAGGTGACAAATTTCTAAAACCTGGAAGAACATAAATAAATCCTCTATCCTTTAGCCTGTAGTCCTGACAAGCCCTGAATAACAAAGGGTCAGGAACAGGACATCCAAATCCCTTGCATAATTGCAGTATGTAATTAATTCTTCATAAGTAGAACTCAGAAACTATACAATCTGTAGGTGATTTTAAACCAGGAAATTAAACAAATGTGTATTGTAATGTCATGATACACTTTAAATAAGATTAACAACTGCTTGCAGAATGTATCTTGTACAGATAGCTCTCTGCTAAGACGTAATTAAAATATTCCATCCTCAATTAATTGAAACCCATTTTGTCATTGAGTGAAATCTGTGCACAAATGCCACTTGCTATCACATACCATGTGCTCAGATAGTTTATAGAAGGTTTTACACTAGGATGAAGTTCATTCCTTCCTTTCTACAGTCTTCTAGGTTCAAGTTTTCTTGATGGTCCTTGGACAAATGAGGAGAAAACCAACAGAGCTGAGTGCAAAAAAAAAATAAGGAACAAAAGAGAGAAGAAATGAAGACTTTTAATAAAGTAAATTCAGAAAAAGAGAAGTTAATATAAAGGGAAAAGAAGAAATACTTCAATCATTTTATCACCTTATTCAGTCACAGTTACAAACTTTTAGTTTTTTGTTTGGTTGTTTGGTCCAGATGTTTTACTAATTTTTTTTTTTTGCTATTTGGTCTGAGGTTGTGGGGATTTTTTGTTTGTTTGGTTGGGTTTTTTTGTTTTCTTTTGTTTTTTAAGAGTCAGACTAATTTGCTAGCTTCAGTTTTTCAGGTTCAATTAACAAGCAGCAGTTAGCAACAGCAATTCAACAGAATGATACATGGCCTCCTTGAAATTTCTGATAAATATATCTGCACTATTAAAACCCAGGAATATTTACTCATACTCCATCATACCAGAAAGGAGAGCAAATATAAAGAATGTATAAATTAAATCTCAGCTTTCAATATTATTTCCCAGCAACCCCATTTAGGTGGTATATTTGAGACCAGTACCAAAAAAAAAAAAAAAAAAAAAAAAAAAAAAAAAAAAAAGCGCCACCTTTCTAGGATTGTATTTATCTCCACCTCCATACTTGAAAAAAGAGACTCAAAATAGTTCAAAGATAATTTTCACTCACACCGCCTTTACTTAAAAGCAAAAACACTAAATACAAAGAACCTCAAGAATCAACAGGAGTAAGACGTGCTAACCTAACTGGATTTTATTTTAATTATTACTCCGCACTGAAAAAAAAATCCCCTCTGAATAAAGAACACTATCAAGGGACTTATACTTTAAATGAACAGTGAAATCTTAGATCTGCCATCAAACACTAAGAAGCTGAAATGGGGGGGGGGAAGTAGAGAACAAAGGATGAGAGTTGCCCCTCTCCCTCTTTTTAGATGTGTTACTGAATACATAAAACCAACTTTATAATATCGGAAAATATGTAAAAAATATGTAAAAAAATTTTATCAACATATTGTTTTGGGGCATTGAATGTTATGTCTTGTATGTCATACTTTGTATGACTTATATATACTTATATATCATACTTATGTATCTCATGCTTGTATGTCATACTTTGTTTTGCAATGCCACCCAGTGGACACAATTTAGTACTTCATACACATTTATCTACTAGTAGAAGAGATCACATTATTTTCTAGTATGAGGGATAGAAGGATATCTGAATGCTAACAAATCTATTTAACAAATATGTTTTTACTGTTAATGGCAGCATCATTTCATTGCAATCGTTAAGTAAAAGTGCAAGGTTTGTTTATTCTACTGCTATGTGTTAGTATACTAAACACAAAAATTTACTGTTCAGTAAACACATAGCTTGCTGAAAACAAGAACAGGCAGACAGATACCATGCAATGAAGTATTTTTCTGCCTGATCAAAATACTTACACACGTGTGAAAAGTAAATGACATCTATCATGCACTAAACTGAAAAAAAAAATTGAATGAGATCCAAAAACTAGTAAGGCATTTGTGAAAGTACCATTACAACAATGCCTTGATTTATAAGCTGACTTGTGCCAGCTGCAAGAACCATTTTAACAACAGTTCCAAGGCAGAACCTGCCTCCATATTATCTTTTTCTTTCTTAAGAAATTGAAGTACAACACAAGAACAGATACACATGTGCCTGAGACTTAAACTTAGATTTATGAACTACATCTGTAAATCACAGAATCATCTAGGTTGGAGAAGACCATGAAGATCATCCAGTCCAACCACTGACCTCACACTGACAGTTCCCAACTACACCAGATCTCTCAGCACTATGTTAACCCGACTCTTAAACACCTCCAGGGACGGGGACTCATCACTGCCCTGGGCAGCCCATTCCAATGCCTAACAACCCCTTCTGGAAAGAAATACTTCCTAATATCCAGTCTAAACCTTCCCTGGTGCAAACTGAGGCCAGTACCTCTTGTCCTATCACTTGTTACTTGGTTAAAGAGATTCATCCCCAGCTCTCTGCAACCTCCTTTCAGGTAGTTGTAGAGGGCGATGAGGTCTCCCCTCAGCCTCCTCTTCTCCAGAGTAAAATGTCTGAAGGTGGCTCACAGTTTTTTAGTATTTTCCATACATTAAAGACTTTTTTCTATATTTAATTTTTCAAATGGAAATGGAAAATGCAAATGGAAATTTGTTTGAAACACATCAGTGCCTTTGGCTCCATAAAAAGACATAAACACATGTTTTCCATGTAGCATTACTAATGGGCAGCTATGTGAATGGGCAACTACTTTTCACTGAAGTACAGACTTTCCAGTCTAAACATGCTGCAAATAGGGCAGTCATTTATTAACACCATTTTTTAAAAGAAGTGATAAAAAAAACAATAAATGCACATGGTGAAAGGAATGCACCGTCTGCATATTCTCCTGGTTTGCAATAAGAGCTCCATGTTTGAGTGAATGCTTACTATGCGTTTCAGCTGTTACTGTATCAAAAAGCATACACTACATCATATGTATAATGGTTCTGCCAAATAGACAAGATAAAGAGGAAAGGCATGAGAGATATCCACATTTAAAATTCTAAATTTTAAAAATTTAAAAATTCTAAAATTTTAAATTCTAAGACTCTGGGAAAAAAAAACGAAAAGGAGTCGTTGTTACATCTGACCAGTGAAAGTCAAGAACACAGTTCTCATTCTTTTAAAAATGTTGTGCATCTTACACATGCTCCCTGTTGGAGACAAGGATTTGCCCCACAATCACTGTGTTGGGCTTTGCTGAGATCAGATCAGGTCAGAAGAGGTGACAGTAAATGAGACGCTCTTTGTTCTCTCCAAAGGTTCAGTGATCTAAAAGAAAAGCATTACAAAGCTCAATGCAAAGGAAGAATGTGAAAATAAGTTATGGGAATAAACTAAGGAAAATAAGGAGAAAAATAGACAATTTAGGATTAAGAGTTTGGAATTAAATGTATAATAGCGTGGGACTCTTTACTAGTTGAAACATGTTACCAGGATGAGAGATGTGAAAAGAGAATGACTGTGAAAGTGTAGATTAACTAAAACAGAATGGGTAGGAGTAGGGAAGAAATACAAGAACATACAAATCAGAGTATTTAAAAGGGAACATGAGATATCAAAATTTCACCATTCTTTTTCACTGTGACCATATATTTAAGAAATTCACTAGAAAATTCCCCTCTACCACAGATCAAATAAATAAATAAATAAACAAACAAACAAACAAATAAATAAATAAATAAATAAATGTTTTCAATTTTTTCTGCTTCAGCTGCACATCTGACCACAGCAAATTCCTGGCAACCACAGTTTGACAGTTAAAGGCAAATCAGACCTGAATACTAAGTTTTACACAACGGTCAGAAAATTAAGCTCATTATAGTCCACATGAGCATGACAACCACCAGAAGCTGCCCCACAATACCACGTGCTGCTATCCACCTGCTCCAGTAGTAGCCTGCATCAATTCCATGTGTCAATTTTTTTCGGTCATTTCATTTTATAGCTAGCAGTGAAATTCATAAAAATGGATAATTATAAAAACATAAATTGACATATTGACAAAGAAGACATATTGAAGACAAAGAAGAAATATTGACAAAGAAGATTAATGCTTAATACACAAGTTTGTAATAATACTGCATAAATACTTCAACTACAGCTGAGTTAACTCAGTTCTACTTAAGAAGGAACACCTATTTCTATTTATTGTCACTTATTCAAGGTACTCTAAACCTCATGTGTTCATCTTACTGCCATGAAATTTGGGTTGCCACACAGGCAGAAGTTCAAATCCCAAGTCATTTGAGACAAGCACTGCTGAAATATTTTCCTGGAAAACAAACAAAAAATTCAACAGTCTTTTTTACACTAATCTTCCAGATTCTGCTATCACAGTTCTGCATACAGTTGTGAACAAAATCATAAATTAGTCATGCTGAAAGTGTTCCTAAACATTTGACCTTTTTTAAAACTATTGTACTTTACTCTCACTTTGAGGAAATAAAATCAAACTCTTCACTCAGTGACAAATATTAATTAAATAACCCACAAGCTACTGAGTTCTTCATCACATTCCTGAGACTTTTAATCTGCTCACAAATGTGCTGGAAAGCAGAAGTAAGTCCTTGGCCTTCTCACAGAGTATTAATTTCTTCACCCATACAGTAATTTGAAAAAAACACAGCCTACACACCATCCACAGTCTCTACAATTCAACCCATTATTCCTGCACAACATAAAAGTTACGTTACAGGAGGATGCCCTCAGTCTAACGCATATGTAGACCACTGACACCAGGAAATACAAACTTCAGGTACAGAACATCTCTGTACTGTGAGGAAACTGCCTTGAAGTAAGCAGAAGAAAGCCAGCAAGCAGAGACAGCTGTACGACCTGAGAACAGGCTGAAATATGGAACATAAAATATCTAGAAGATGGATATCAGGCCTGGTTTGGCTTATATTTCATGTTACTAGTTTTAAAAAACAACAAAAAAGCTTTCCACTCTTCAGTGGACTGATATATATATAGATATATATATAGATATATATATATAGATATATACATAGACACACAGAGAACAGAGTAAGTGACTTGGTCTTAATGATTTTGTAGGACAGCCAAGTAAGTTATACTGGAGTCAGGGTCTTTGTGCTGTGGGAAGTGGAGAATGAAAAGAACATCGGCACACATACCAATCTTCTATCACACAAGTTACTGTAACTATTATGTAGAATATCTGAATGGACAAGGACTAGATCCGTCTCTCCATTAGCAACTCCATCATTCAAACATTTTAATGAAAATCTGTAATCCTCATCTATTTCAAACAGGTGCAAATTGACTATCCAAGAACCACACAGCTTGCTTGACCATAAGCAGAGGATCAAACAAAGGACAAACCGAGAGACTACCTGCACTATGCAAACTGTTGCTATCTTTGACACAGCTGTAGTATGCTCCTAACACACATACACTCACATTTGGACTGTCCGTTTGAAAGGTGACACCTAAATCAATCTGACATTAAAAATGTCAAAATATGTAACAAAAATGTTATTAAATTTTCCAGTCCTATCATAGATACACATACACGATCACCTTAATCTCATTCACTCATCCTTGAATAGACAATTCACATACAACTTCCATCTTACTGGTGACGGCAAACATGCCCTTCTGACCCACTGCTAATACAATGTATTTAACTCGAAACTAAACATGTAACAGGTAACTCTGTAGATAAGTATATTGTTCAGTAAATTATGACAGAGAGGTCAACCCAAATTGCGTATAACTGTTCCAAAAAAGAAACTAATTCATCCATCTTACAAAAGGCCTAAATTGCACAAATAAAAAAGTTAGAATGCTGAGAGATTTCAGGGGGCATGGCTAGGGTTGTAGGCACATACCCAACATAACTTTGTTTTACTGTTCTTCTAAGTGAATAAACCCATTAATGGGCCCATACCTCAAATGTTAACACTTTGTAGAAAAAGCAGAGCGTGGAATGTATAGCCTGAAGATCCACCTCTGAACTGTGGGCAGAAAAAGGAAGAAAAATCGCTAATTTGCTAAAGTAAAATATACTAACTCCATATATATTTCTATAAATTGCATGTTCACCATCACGCTCATACACAGTACTGCTCTGAACTACCTCAGCTGATCATCTGGCCTTACCACGTGTGCACAAGCCAGACCAGATCCAGCACACAGATTTTCTTACCCATTTAGAAACTAAGTTTAAACTCACAGGGGCAGACAGCTGTAAGGCAGTGACTTCACAACAGTCAGAGACCTTGCTCTACCATGAAGCCACATAAGACTGGGGGGGGGCGGAGCAATAACAACGCCTTAAACAATTATAACTAGAAAACCCGAGACGAACCGTCGAGTCTCTCAAACACCCGCCGTTCCCGACAGGGGACAAGTGCGCGGGCCTCCCGGTAAGGCGGCCGGGCTTCCCCCAGCTCAGGGTGCGCTTGGACCGCGGGCCGCTGGGCCGGGCCGTGGAGCACCGCAAGAGGACGAAGGGAAAGAAGTACATTATGCAATG